TTTTCTTCATTTATAGTAGCTCTCGTAGTCTCAGCGTTGGTAACATCTTCTTCATCCGACACCCGTATTTCATTTTCTCCATTTGTAGAAGCTCCGTAGTTTCAGCGTTGGTAACATCATCATCATCATTATCATCATGACCATCAACAATCCAACCTTGGGCATTTGTAGCACCAAAAGCCTCCAACTTGTCATTTCTTTTTGTTCTATTTGCCAACCTTGCATTGAACTGGACATAGATTCACAGACAAGGTTTTGCATCCTTGGTGTGTATCTTCATAAAAAAGGCTGATTAGTGTACAATAAACTAGGAAAAAATCATATGAAAATTTACTCCTTCAAAAGGTAAATCTTCAAATTTACAAGTTCTCAAATAAAAGGTAAATCAAATATATGAAATGTTAGATATCAAAAAGTAATAAAACACTTACTCCTTCTATAGTTGAAGAAAATTGAAGAACTCCCAATATACCAGGACCTGCTTAAAGATACTTTACATGAATCCCTTTATAATACATCTTGAGATCCTAGGTTTGATGATGGACTTTTTTGTAGGTTTTCCCCTTCTCCATGCTGGTTTTGTTATCTAGGAAGTATGAAGTTTAAAATATGATATGCTAGACATGAAACAAAGGATTTATTGTGGCAATGATTGTAACACATGTGAAGCAATTAGGTAGGGGTGGTGATTTGAATGGTGAGGTGTTGGTGGGAAGTTCTGTTGTTTATGTTGAAAATTCAATTGTAGCATTTCAGGAGGAACCTGATGTTAAAACCAACCATGACCTTCCTGGAAGGAATGTAATAGTTTCAATAATAGAAGAAATGAAGAAGAAGAGGAAGATACTACAGTGAGTAATAATTCAGGTGCAGATGAGTTTGAATCGAAAGCAACTGCATATGCTTTTTACAATGCGTACGCAACTAGAGTGGGTTTCATTATTCGTGCCAACAAGCTCTCTCGATCTAGAAAAGAAGGTTCTTAGACGGCCCTGAGATTTTTTAAAATTATAAAAAAGCTCCTTCATCGGTCACATTTCCCACGAAGACACTCAAAGATGATATGATATCACATTTCCTGATAAATGATAATTCAGTTTTGTCGGACTAAAATGTTGTCAATATTTGTTCCTCAGATTCCTTTGTGGAGGAAATTGTTAGATAGCCATGGACGGTATGTATTTAGTTTTGGGCCGAAGGGCTTTGTTTCCTTTGTATAAACTCGTATAAATACTTGTATTATGTGAATAGAAGGAAAAAAGGATTTACACCAAAATACACCCATACGTTCGATCATGGTATCAGATGTTGGTGATTTTAGTATCACCACGTTCATTTTAGTGTAATGGAATTTACAGATTACCAATGGAGTTCAAGTTTAATTTTAGACAAGTTAGGAGGTGCGGAGCGCACACTTGTACGAAATTAAATTTAAACTTGGTTCGATTAAATGGCGGGGGTCAAGGGGGCTGCGCCCCCTTGCGGGGTCCAAGGGGCAGCGCCCCTGGCGGGGTCCAAGGGGCAGCGCCCCTTACTTATTCAATGTATTATAACTTCACAATATATTTTAAAGAAATAAATATGGAAATTTATTTTCGGATAAACATGTCCATATTAATTATTTAATAGAATGACTTTCTGTTAGAGTAAAACTCTAACCGATTGGCCTTATCTCTTTGGTAATCAGAAGAATTCGAGTTCTACTAAAACTGCTAGTTCGTGGTCTATATATTGGTGCCTCAGTTTTAGACTGTCTCTTAGAGTGATTATCCCCATAATCTAAATTTCGTGTAACCCAGGCATAGGGTCGAAATATTAGATTCGGAAAGTGATCACACGATACTCTGAGAAATCCGCCAGATTTTCTAAAACAGTTTCCCAACTCCCCAGCTCTAACATCAGAGCCGTGAGGGCCTTTTTACGCACACCATCGTCTTCTTCGCTGGTCTGCACCAGCGTGCTTCGACCTAGCGTCATGGGAGACATAACTTCACCATATTAGTTGGGTTCGGGAGATCAACCCGGAAACCTTATTACTCATGTGATATTCAAAGGCCACAATTACGTTGCTTGGTCACGTGCTTTCGCTCTCTCTTTGAAAGCACACCGGAAGAATGGCTTCATCGACGGCACGCTTAAGGAACCAACCGAGCCAGCAAGGAAAATCGATTTTGAGACAGTCAATTCCATGATTGTCTCATGGATGTTGAGGAGTATGGAACCAACTGTTGTGGCGTCCATACTATTTCACGATGATGCACGAACTTTGTGGCTATATTTGGAAAAACGATATAGTGTTCCCAATGGACCACGGTTGCAGCAGTTGCGAGCGTCAATTACGGAGTGCCGGCAGAGCAAGAACATGATGGTAGACACCTATTATACCGTAATTATGGGTCTGTTCGAAGAACTATACCGGCTAAAACCCTTGCACGCGTGCTCGTGTCAGCGGCGGACCCACTAAGGGTCCCAAGGGGTCCCGGGACCCCGTGGACCTCGGGAAAAAACCCTATATATATATATATATTATATATATATTTTAAAATTACTTATTCAATGTATATATAAACACAAAACAAGTTAAAAACAATAAAGTTGTTACAGCCGAACGGGAACACGTCTGGAAGCAAGGGACCTGATACGCGAGGTATCAGGTTCGAATCCCATCTCGGAATTTTTTTTTTTGGGCCTTTTTTTTTGTCTTTAAGGAAAGCCACAACCCAACTTAAGCCCAAAACAAAAGACCCAACCCAACAAACCCTTCCTCTCTTTCACGCAACCAGCGAGCAGCGGCTCCTTTTCCTTCCTCTCTTTCACGCAGCCGGCAGCCCCCAGCCCCCGACTGGCCCCAAGTCGCCGACCGCCGATTCTGCGCCCTGCGGCCTCCCTCTCCCTGCCGTCTGCCGACCTGCCGCCTGCGTCCCCTGCGGCTGCGGCCGAAGTCCGAAGTCCGAACTGGCGGAACTGCTGAAGCCCAACTGCTGAACTGCCCAAGGTACTTTCTTTTCTTTTCTCCATTAATGGAGTTTCTCAAATCTCAAGCTTTTTGTTGGATTTTCTATATGCTAAAAAATTAGGGATTTCAAATTTCAATTTCTATGTTTAAATTGCTTTTAATTGCTTTTCTTTGCATATCTTTTTTTAATGTTAGATTAAATTAATAAATTCATGTATTTATAAATGTTATTTTCAATTTTATACGATTTAGAATGAAAAGATATTTTGATGTTGTACCCAAATTTAAAGAAACTCAAAGTACCGGGAGTAGTTCGGGTGTTAATTCAAATGATCCGCCATTAGTAAATGAAGAATTGGATCAAGTAATTGCTGAAAGTGAAGCTAATTTGGCTTATAATCTACCTGAACAACATGAGGATTTTGAATCTTTGGAAGCTGATCCTGGATATGTAAGGGTAGGGACCCCGTGGCTCCGACTTCCTGGGTCCGCCACTGCTCGTGTGGGCTGTGCACGTGCAATGTTGTCGGGAAGTTTGCGGCTGATCGTGAGGAGGAAAAATTACATCAATTTCTTGTTGGAATTGATGACGAGCTTTATGGGACTGTCCGTTCCAACCTTCTGTCACACACGCCTTTGCCCGATCTCAACCGGGCTCATCAAGCATTTTTGCAGGAGGAAAACTCCAGAGCAGTGATCCGCGGGAAGCATGCAGCATCCGCAGATGTCCAGGCCTTTGTTCTCGAGGTGGAACGGCCTGACAAAGGTCGTGAGGTAAAAGTAGACCAACCACGTCCTGTGTGCACTCACCGTAAACAAAAAGGCCACAAGGTGGGTTCGTGTTTCAAGCTCCATGGATACCCGGATTTGTGGGAAGACCGACCCCGGGCCAATGGGGAAGCTGCAGGTTGAGAGGGCAGTTCTGGCCGGGGGGGGGGGGGGGGTGTTCGTACTCATGCAGTAGCAGCGGCCGTACCTTCTCCTGAAGTCGAACGCTCTTCTTCTGGTAGTAATTCCAACGGTTTGGCTGTTTTGAGTCTGGAACAAATTCAAGCTCTCTTAAGTTTAATTGACAATAATTCTCGTACTTGTGATCGTATGTCGGGTAAGAACTTATTTCATCTTGATTGGATTATTGATAAGAGAGCATCACACCATGTCACGGGTGACTCCTCTTGTCTTGTTAATCTCGTGCGTATTATTGCTCGTCCAGTTAGTTTACCTGATGGTAGACAGGCTGCAGTCGTACTTGAGGGACGTGTGACACTCTCGGAGGGACTTACTCTTGAAAATGTCTTATATGTGCCTGGATTGAATTGTCATCTTATTTCGGTCTCACAATTGACGGATCAATCTGAATGTCTTGTCACATTTACTAATACTCTTTGGGCTATACAGGACCTTCGCTCGAGGAGCCTGATGTAACACCCCGGCCTCGTAGGCCCCGAGGTAGTTACTTTTGATCTCTAGTACTGTCCTCACAAAGCGCCACTAGCCTTTTCCGCGCACTTTGTCCTCACTCGTGTGTGCCCTGAGAAACTTCCCAAGGGGTCACCCATCCCAAGACTACTCCCGTGCAAGCATGCTTAACTTTGGAGTTCTTGGGTGATGAGCTCTCTTAAAAGGAGATGCATCTTGTTGGTATGAGTAGTACTATTAATTCGTTTAAATTAAATCTCAAGTGTTACACCTGATTAGAGCCGGTGAGGCTTGAGAGGCAAGATAGGCTGTTTTATTTCAGAAGATTGCCTAAATTGCATGCAGTTCAAGGGGGGCTTTGACGGAGTTTGAATTATGGCATCGTCGTATGGGTCATCCTTCGGATCATGTGCTTAAATTATTGCCTTGTTTTACACCCAGTTCTGTTCAGAAGAAATTGAATAAAGCTTGTGAAGTTTGTCCTCAAGCAAAGCAAGTCCGTGATTCTTTTCCCCTTAGTAATAATAAAGCTAGTCGAATTCTTGAATTAATTCACTGCGATTTATGCGGACCTTATAAAACCCCGTCTACTTGTGATGCCATTTACTTTCTTACTCTGGTTGATGATTTTTCACGGGCTGTGTGGGTTTATTTGCTGCGGGATAAAAAGGAAGTGCACAAATATTTTTCTTCATTTATCGCTATGGTTGAAAAACAATATGAAGTGCGGCCCATCAAAGCTGTACGTAGCGATAACGGTACGGAATTTAACTGCATGAAGTCTTATTTTGATAACAATGGCATTCTATTTCAAACTTCGTGCGTTCATACCCCCCAACAGAATGGGAGAGTGGAACGCAAATACCGCCATATCTTAAATGTTGCTAGGGCATTGATGTTTCAAGCGCATGTTCCGGTGCGGCTGTGGGGTGAATGTGTTCTTGCTGCGGTGTACTTAATTAATCGCACCCCGTCCGACCTCTTAGGCGGGAAAACGCCTCACGGAGTACTTACTGGGGTGAGTCCATTATTGTCTCATTTGTGGATTTTGGGGTGTCTATGTTTTGCATATACTCATCAATCAAGAGGTGATAAATTCTCTTCCCGTAGTAGGAAGCGTGTCTTTCTTGGCTACCCCCATGGCAAGAAAGGATGGAAATTGTATGATTGGGAAACCGGGGAAATATTTGTGTCACGAGATGTGCAATTCCATGAGGATGTGTTTCCTTTTATGCCTTCGGTTTCCTCTGTGGCTGATGGTTCTTTGCGAAATGACACTCCGTTGCCTATTGTTATGGATGAGGTACTCTCCCATCTTCTACTATACCTGTGATCACCGAGCCAGAAGGTACTCCCCCCCCTTTACCGAGGCTACATCTACACAGGAGGCACCCCCTCCCTTAGGCCGCGGCTTGCGTGCTAATCGCACCTCAGTCCTCCTCTGCGACTTTGTTACTCACCATGTAACAGTCAGCCCATCTTCGCTACACTCTCCGTTCGTCAGCTCCTCAGACGCCTTATCCCATAGCACCTCTTATAAAATGTGATAAATTTTCCTCTCGTCATCGGGCTTTCCTTGGAGCCTTACTTGCAGGTCAGGAACCACGTTCGTTCCGTGAGGCAATGACAGACTCGGGATGGCGTCAATTCATTTTGAAATGATAAAAATGAAAATGTTACTCTCTTCGCCTCATAATTAATTCATTTTGATTTGGCAAAGTAAAAGGTAGAATTTTGTTGTTTAAAGTTGTGTAGATGAAACAAAAAAGTTATGAATCACTACTCTTTGTTAAAAAAGAAAGAAAATAGATATTAGAATACACAAAAAGAATCCTGAAGTTTATTTTGAGATAGGGGAAGTGCATGATATTATCATAAAAATAAAATGCGACCCCGTTTGTTAACACAGAAATTAGCTGAATCAGCTGATTCTGCTTAAATTTATAAAGTTACGGATGAAGTGGCTAGATCGGCAGATTATAATTATTTATGAAAGATAATTAGATTAATAAAATAAAGAAAAAGTTATATGAAAAATATCTAAAATGATCTTCTACAGTAACTTCAGTCAATACAATTAGAAAAGTAACCTCGACCTTACTTTTTCTTCTTATTATTACGCAATTCAACGGGCGAAATCAAAAGTTACGTGAGTGGTCTGGCTAATAAGTTTGATAAGGCGAAAATTAAACTAAGGTCACCTTTTCACTCGTGTGATGCACGAGACACAATATAATCAAATCATATAAAAAAGTATATCAATGCAATAACATTCAAGATCGATAAATTTATAATTCAAAAAAGTGTGAAAAGAGAATGAAGCTACATAATAATATTTTGGTGACAACTCCGGTACTCATTTAAAAAATTAGGTACCGTACCTATCATTCACTTGATTGGTCCACATCATTATATCATTTTTAATTTCGATTTAAATAATTCAACTGCAACATTCTCATTGGTCCATGTGGACAACGGTATAGTACCTTATGGGTACCATAGAATCTATCTAATATTTTATATATGCAATTTGAAATAGTTAAGAAGACAAAGAGGCCGTTTGGCAACACTATTTTTCGGCTCATCATGTTTATCAGCCAACTTTTCACCAAACACGTAACTTTTGCTTTCGCGCGCTGAATTGTGTAATAAGCAGAAAAAGTAAGGTTGGAGTTACTTTTTTGGCTATATTGGCTGAAGTTACTGTAGATGACCATTTTAGCTATTTTTACATATACTTTTTTCTTTATTTTATTAATAAAATATATTTTAAAAATATTTTTTTCTTAAATCAGCAGAATCAGCCAATGCAGCCACTTCAGCCAGAACTTTACAAAATTCAGCAAAATCAGTCAAATCAACCGATTTTCGAAAAATGGGGTTACCAAACGGGCTCTGCGTGATTTCGTGAAAAAGTTGACTAATAAGGTTGTTAATTAAATAGAGTCACCAAATGGGCTCATAAATTTTATACTTTTGTAAAAGTACATTTAACAAAGAATGTTTTTGATTACTTTTCATTTTTGAAATAATTTCGTATTAAAACATTATTACATATCATCAATGAAATCGGATCATCATTGACCAAGAAAATTTAATAGTGCCAAAGTTTAGTGGGACATATAGGGGCAAATATTTATTTATTTTTTTAAATATTGTTTCCACCAGTTTTCATGAGACCATTCCTAATTATAAGTTTATAACTTCTTATATGAATTTTCATTAATATTACATTTACTGTTATTCTTTAATACACATTCAAAAATAATAATTCTTTAATATATCTACACATATGATTTTTTTTAAATATTTCAGCTGATAACGTTATCTAAGATTACAATATAATTGATGCTAAATTGCGATCCGTGCATCGCACGGGTGAGAATCTAGTGTAAACAACATTACTGGTATTGTGAATTTGTTGATTATTTTAATATTTTCAAACATTTATGAATAATAACTCTTGACACTGCAACATAAAGTTGACTTGAGTAAATACTGACTTTTGTTTATTGTCATTACATAAAAAGTTATTATCGAAATTGTCTTCTTTCAAACTTGAATGATATTCTCGCATCAAAAGGAATAAATGTTAATCGTGGAATCTGTACTTTTTGATCATTACAATTCCTAATCAATAAAATAATAATAAGTGAATTAACTAAATAAAATGGTAATAAGTGCACCTTCAAATGCATTACGTTGTGACAGAATTACATCTATTTATTTTGATGTAACATCACAATTTATTTCATGTCCAGAGTTCCACACTGTCTTTCCTTTAAATTAGATATACTTTCAATCAATAGTATATAAGTGTAATTATAGATAAATAGGTATTTTAATGTTACTATTTCAAAAAAATACAAAACATACATAATTTGTTAATATAAGTGCAATAATATTACTAATGTAATATTGGAAAGATTTACAAAAAAGGATTTTGATTTATCAATTTCTCAAATATTTTTGGGATAAACTTAACCCAATAACACATTTTAATATCCCAACCCACAACCCAAATACGAACCCCTAACTATATAAAATCTTTATATCCAAAACTTCACATTTAACCATCTTCACTCTAGAACCTGCGGTCAGCGGAGAGACATCCGTTAATACGATGCTCTCTGCCTCTCTTCTCATGCCTTCATTTATCACCTTTCAATCTTCGTCTTGCCTCTTCTTCTACCTTCAATCGTCCCACCGCGTGGACTCAATAGTTCAGTTTAACCGTCGATCCTGTCTAAGTCCAAGCCTCCATAGTTGTTTCATTAAAATCAACGGTCTTTGCCATAAATCAACAACTGCGAGTCATCGGTTTATCTGTAAACAAATTTATGTGGAATTCTTCGGGTTTCCAGTTGGCTCACTGCATCTTGGTCGATGAATTGGTTCCTCGGACGGAGACCTAGCCATTCGCTGTATACGCTCAATGTATTGGAGTGGTATCTCGGCCTTGGCTATTATGATGAGTATACTCCAAACTCTATTTTGGGTATTATTTGAATTATTTGATATGTATCTGTTACATAGCATCAGTTTAAACATTTTGAAATAAAATCATCAATTTTAAAATAAAAGGCACCTTTTTTGTAAAATTACAAACAAATCTGTTCAAAAGGTTATCATGTTACTAAGATTTTTTAAAATACATATGACTGTGTTAAATAGCCTTACTATTGTGTGTTAACACCTAAAATGTTAATGGGCTGTTATACATACTTATTAGTAGCCACTATCATTTTAAACCAATTTCTTTGCTGCTCATCATTATTTATATGGTATTTTTGGAAACATTTTGGAATAAAAAGGCTTGTGATACATGCAGTAGGATGTGCGGAGGAAGTTTGATTCCAGGTTTTAAAAATTCTATCATAGTCTTGTTATTGTGTTTTAAGACCAAAACTACTAACATAGTACTCCCTCCGTCCATGTATAAAAGCCCTTATTTATTTTATGCCCAATTTTAGAAAGTGCGATTCTTGGACATTGTTCGGACACGGTTTTGCACTATTTTGTTTCCCAAAAAGGGAAAGAAGACTTCCGTTTAGGAACGGAGCGAAAAGGAAAAGGAAACATGGACATCTATTTAGGGACAAAAGTAGTACTCCCTCCGTCCCAATTTGATTTGGGAAATTTCCTATTTTGGTTGTCCCAAAATGGGTTTTCACTTTCTATTTTAGGTATGTAAATAAAAATAAAGTGACAAATTTATCCTTACTTTTACGTTTTCCCATTAATTTAAAGGCATCTACTTTTAGAAAGATGGGCAAAAATGTAAAAAGCAAGCATCATTTATTGTCATTCATTAATCCTTGTGCCGGTTAAAGTTTGCAATTCAATTCGGGACGTAGGGAGTATATTATTATTTAACTTTGATCGAGTCACTGTCGTGTTTAAGTCAATTTGTTTGTAGATCATGTATGAATTCCTACTTTGATTGGTAATGCCTTTAAATCTTTTTATGTAGTGAAGTAGCAAAGCTGGTCAATAAACATTTGTGAGTGGACTTCCCTGTCAAGTAATGATGAAGACACTGACTTGTACATTGCTTTAATTAATTCCTAGTAGTATCACAATCTTTACTTAACTGCACTTTGGGAATCTACTCTTCTAACCACATTGTCTTTTTAGTACGCAGTATTTATAAAAAGAATATATACACATTGCTTTAATTAATTTCTAGTAATATCACAATCTTTACTTAATTGCACCTATTTTCCTGCATTACCGGTAAGAAAACCATTTTTTATTAATTTATTATATGAAAAAAGTATTCAACTATTTCTCAAAAACTATGAATATATAAAAAAAACTCAAAAATAGTACTACGCATGTATAAATAGTTGAATAAATATATTGTTCAAGTATAAGGCCAAATTAAATATGCTTTCTTTTATAGCTTTACTGTAAACTGTGAACTCCATGCTTCTTTAATTAATTAATACCTGTAATAATTGTCATGTACAATTTAAATGGTTATTAAGGCCTGCTTATAATCCCTGGTTATGCAAGAAAAACTAACCAATCTCCGGATATGTAGGACTAATATCCATCTTTAGTGCGATACTCGTGGTTCTTATATGTTAAATTTTAAAACTGATTTTTATTGAAAACTGATTCGATCTTATTAAAGTATTGGTTTGTATGAACCTCATGGTTGTACCAAAATCCGATGTTAATTTTGACATAATGTAATCTAATTGGTAAAACGTCGTGGTTACACCATTTGAGTTTTTACCTTTCATTCTTGCCACTGATTCTATATGTTTGTGATATATAGTTTCCCACACTTGTCAGTTGCCAACATCTGTGTTTATCAAACTGTTAGAAAGTAAACAAAAAAATAGGAAAGATAAGAACTGCTTATATAGATCGAACCTCACTCTGATTACCTGTTGGGCCATTGGCGCATGAGTATGTCCTCCTTGTTAATCTCAGTGAATGCTAACCGTAGATGAACATCACTGAGGAAGACACAAAACTCTACTTGCATTATTTTCAAAGAAATTTAAGGGGCAAATGATATACCTCTAAGGCTCTAAAGCCCGGAAAATGACTTCTAATATCTCCCCACCTCTGGAATAGGTTTCCAAGCAAAAAGTGATCACCTTCCTGAAATAGGACAAGGATTAACCAAATGATGGGCACAAGGATTAACCTGCACAAGGATTAACATGGTATATATCGGCCAATATGTATATCTCGATAACATACATCTGAACATTTCTTTTCAGCCAAGCTCTGAGTTTCTTATCTCTTCTTCTTAGTTTCTTATCTATTCTTGGATTGCATATCAATTATAACATGGTATCGGAGCCCTGTTATTAAATCCATATTGTTTCTAATTAAATTTCTAAATAGCTAGCCTCTGTTTTTCTTCCTTATCAAATACGAATGAAGTATTTACCAATTCCATAGCAAATTCTCTCTTCATGAATCGACTGAATACACACCGGCAATACGAAGCACTTATTTAAGGTCACCTTCCGCTTCACCGATTGGAAAACACAACGCCTTAAGGTTTGACAGTCTAATATGTCGCTCTCTTCTACGTTTCAGTCTCGTCCAATTTCTGTGGTTCTTGATGGTTCCAATTATGTCCTATGGAATCATCACATGACAATTCATGTGAAATCTCTTGGTCTCTTCGGTTATATCTCTGGACTTGTGAAAGCTCCTGTCAAAGGTACTAACGGAGAGGATAAGGACTTTGCTAATGCAATGAACGATTGGGATATGCAGAACGCTAAAATCATTGGCTTCATCAATGGCTCAACTATTACAGAAATCCACAATCAGCTCATTGGATATTCTACTGCAAAGGAAGTTTGGGATTTCATAGCTAGGCGTTTTACTGCATCAGGTCTTGCCCATCAATATCAGCTTTGGTCTTCTTTTCAGCGCAAGCGACAGTTGGCTGACCAGTCTATCAGTTCATACGTGGCTGAGATGAAAGTTATCCAGGATCAACTTAATATGGGCACTCCACATATCTTTGATGATACGGCTGATAAGTTTCGTGCCTATTTTTCTCAGCTTCACCTGATTACTCTCTTAATGGGACTTATTGACAAGTTTGAGAGTGTGAGAGCCTCATTACTTCATCGACAACCTCTTCCCATATATGATGATTCCATAGCGGAATTACTTAGTGAGGAGACTAGACTCCAGTCTCACATAGTTCAGTCTGCTGATGTTGTGTTACATGTTGATACTGAAAGGCAAAATCATGGCAAACATTCCGATAACTGGTCTAGTGGACGTACTGCTACAGAGTGCACCTTTTGTCATTCAAAGAATCACTTGCTACTCAATTGTCCAGTTAGACATTGTCGTGTCTGTCGTCAGAAAAATCCAAGGCACTATGCATCCGATTGCCCTCAGAATTTTAGGGGTGGCAACTCTCAGAGGAGATTCACTTCGAGACCACTAGTAGGAACTGTTATCAGTGATACAACCAGACAAGAACCGCCTTCATCCAATGCTACACGCTCCACTACAAACATTAATCTCATAGAGCCCACTACAAACATTAATCTCATAGAGCTAGTTAGACGCAATCAAGAACTTATGGAGCACCTAATGTCAGGTTCTCTCAGTACCAATGGTCTTTCATCCTCATCAGGTAATATGTGGCTTTTTTACACTGGCTGCTGTAACCACATGTCACCTCGATCTGATGTGTTCTTATCGAACACTTCATCACAGATTTTTCCTTCCGTTTGCACAGCTGATGGCACATGCCTGCCAGTGTCCTTCTGTGGGACTGTATCCACTTCTAATTTTTTCTTGCCAAATACATTACATGTTCCTGGCCTATCTATAAACCTCATTTCTATTAGCCAACTTTGTGATTCTGGCCTAACTATTATCTTTTCTACTTCTGGTTGTCTTGTGCAGGATCTAAAGACCAAGGACATCCTTGGAGTCGGCCGTAAAACTAGTCGAATGTTTGAGGTTGTTTACCTTCGCTTACCTTCTGTAGCTTCCAAACTTGTTGCTTCTGTTTCCTCTACGTCTCTTTTTTATTTCTGGCATGCTCGTTTGGGGCACATTTCCATTTCTAAATTACGGTCATTAGCTTCTAGTGGTATTCTGGGCAATGTTAAATCTGAAACACTTTCTTGTGAAACACTTTAAATGAATCTATATCATCTTCACCTTTCGACATTATTCATTCTGACGTATGGGGACCTGCACCTACTCCTTCAATGGGTGGTGCACGATATTTTATAATTTTTATTGATGATCACTCTCGGTTTACTTGGATACATCTGATGAAAAATCGTTCTGAGCTACTAGATATTTATTTCCAGTTTGCTCGCATGATAAAAACAAAATTCTCCAAAACAATTAAAATATTTCGTGCTGATAATGCTATGGATTTACAAAACGTCATCCCTGATCTCCTTTCTACACACTGAAGGTACTATACCTCAATATTCTTGTCCAGAGACTTCCCAACAAAATGGTCGTGCCGAACGCAAACATAGACACATTTTGGACACGGTTCGCACTCTTCTCATTTCATCAAAATGTCCTAAACGATTCTGGGGTGAGGCTGCCTTCACGGCAGTTTACACCATTAATCGTCACCCAACTCAGACACTCCATAATCGCTCTCCTTATGAAACACTTTATGGTTTATCACCTTCCTTTGATCTTCTACGTGTCTGGGGTTGTGCTTGCTTCGTACAACTCCAAACTCATGAACATTCCAAACTTGAACCTCGAGCACGTCTGTGTTGCTTTCTTGGTTATGGTATTGAACACAAGGGATACCGTTGTTGAGATCCTATCTCCAAACGACTCCGAATATCACGCCATGTCACATTCTGGGAACACAAAATGTTCTTCTCTCTATCCACATTTCAAGTTGTCCCCTCCATTCCGTTTTTCACTGATGCCTCTATCTCACTCGACCCATTGGTTGCCTCACCTACACAAGCATCACCTTCCTTGCCATCTCCACCATCTTCTTTGACAGACGCGCCTTCTACAGGTTCACATTTTCATGATGATCAGTCTATTACACCAATTTCTGAGGATTCACCAGGGTCTGTGAATCCTGATACGGAGACAACACAATCACCTCCGGTTCGGAGATCAGACCGGGTAACACAACTTCCTCCTTATCTTCGTGACTATCAAGTTTACTCCACTTTACTTTCACATACTGAACCTACTTCCTTTAAGGAAGCCTCTACTAACCCTCTCTGGCAGGAGGCCATGAATGATGAGCTTTTAGCACTCCATAAGGCACAAACATGGGAAATGGTGGTACTCCCTCCAGGAAAGTCCATAATTGAGTGTAAGTGGGTGTACAAGGTTAAGACCCACTCTGACGGATCACTTGATCGTTATAAAGCCCGTCTTGTCGCAAAGGGTTTTAATCAAGAGTACGGGATTGACTATGAGGAGACTTTTGCCCCTGTGGCTCGCATCACTTCAGTACGCAGTCTACTTGCAGTTGCCTCCACTCGAGGCTGGGATCTTCATCAGATGGACGTGAAGAATGCCTTTCTTAACGGTGATCTTTATGAGGATGTTTATATGAAACCACCACCTGGTATCTCTCATCCTCCCGGTTATGTGTGTAAGCTTCGCAAATCCTTATATGGTCTTAAACAGGCTCCTCGAGCCTGGTTTGAGAAATTCAGCTCTACTGTGGAATCTTTGAGTTTTCATTCTAGTAACTATGATTCTGTTTTGTTTGTTCGCACCACTAAATCTGGGTCTATTCTCCTTCTTCTGTATGTGGATGACATGATCGTTACAGGGAGTGACACACACGGCATCTCTCAGCTTAAAGCCTCTTTGCGGTCTCACTTTGAGATGAAAGATCTCGGTTGTCTACATTATTTCCTTGGCTTGGAAGTTTTGTATGCTACATCTGGGCTCTACTTGTGCCAGTCCCAGTACATTTCGGACTTACTCGCTCGGTCAGGTAATATTACTGACACCAAAGTTACATCTACACCATTGGAGCAAAATATTCAACTTGTCCCTGGATCGGGTACACCACTTCGTGACCCTACCCTTTACAGACAACTTGTTGGGTCTCTCATCTACCTAACTGTTACACATCCGGATATTTCCTATGCAGTACATAAGGTAAGTCAGTTCATGTCCGCTCCTTGCTCGGATCATTATGCTGCTGTATTGCGCATACTTCGATATTTGAAGGGTACAATATTTCACTGCCTGCATTTCTCATCCACTTCCTCTCTTGATCTTCATGGATACTCAGACGCAGACTGGGTTAGTGATATCACTGATCGTCGTTCTACCACCGGATACTGTTTTTTTCTTGGTGATTCCTTGATTTCTTGGCGCAACAAGAAACAGTCTGTCACATCTCTCTCTAGTACTGAATCTGAGTACCGTGCTCTTGCTGATACTGTTCAGGAGTTACTTTGGCTTCGGTGGTTACTCTCTGACTTGGGAGCGACTCAGAATTCCCCTACGACTCTTTGGTGTGATAACCGAAGTGCAATACAAATTGCTCATAATGATGTTTTTCATGAGTGTACAAAACATATTGAAATCGACTGTCACTTTATTCGACAACATGTGGCTTCCCCTAATGCACGTCTTCAGTATATTTCAACTACAGACCAAACAGCTGATCTCTTTACAAAGCCTCATCTTCCTAGCCGTTTTCACATATTGGTTTCCAAACTCAAGTTGGTTCCCTATTCACCAACTTGAGTTTGAGGGGGATGTTAAGATGTGGTGTAATTACGTATATTATAAAGTGCAGGGGTCTCTTTGTCATTTTCTTATTCTAGTTAGGGTATAGATATTTTCCCTTTGTCTTATATATAGCAGCCAATATGTATATCTCGATAACATACATCTGAACACTTCTTTTCAGCCAAGCTCTTAGTTTCTTATCTCTTCTTCTTAGTTTCTTATCTATTCTTGGATTGCATATCAATTATAACAGTTATACTTGTTTTTTAAATCTTAGTAGACTATCCAATGATAATGTTTGTTGGTTTTACTTGTGTAGAAAGAGCATGATAAAATCAGGGAACTTTCTCAACATCTGGCAGCTGAAAAGAAGCGGTCAGCAACTTACAAAAGACACCTGGAAATGCTATTTGAGCATATTGAGGAGCACAACCAATCCCTATCAAAGAGAACCCAAGATTTCTTGGCCAATGTAAGGGAGGTGGAGAGTAGAGACCAGCAGAATCATAGATAGCTAGGCGTTATCCTGCCCACACTCCAAATAGGGAAAGAAGTGGTCTCAAGAATGCTATTCAGGTGAAACAAACATCACAAGTTTAGTGTCTTCTTGGTATAAACTGTTTTTTTATTTATTTACTCCATATATGATTTAGGAAGAAAATCAAATGTTAAACTCCTCCAATGTCCCTTTCTGTTTCATCTTGTATGTAAAAAAATATCCTTGTAGTGTAGCAATCAAAGTTCACAGGAACAGGCCACCATATGTAATGAAATTTGGATCTTTCATGAGAATGAAATCTTTAATCTCTCACATAGATTTCTTATATTTGATGCCCTTGATGTTAAACCACATGTTGTATTGTCCAGAATAACACTTGATGCAAGTGAGCTGTGGTCAGTGGTTTCATGCACCCCTTCTGCCCTTCGATCCCCAGCAGGGGTCTAATCTCATTTGTACCAAGTTGTTCCCGAAATTAAAGCTGTTATTGGACTTTTTTTAATACTGAATGTTTTATAATGTGTTGTTGACTTGTGGGGATAGTCTGGCTTATGCTGCATTTTATTAGAGATAATGAGCTGAGAGCATATGATAAGATATCAACACAGTTACTTGGAATTAATAAACCAAATAGGACTCAAGCATGTCTGAGGATGGCAATGGGACGGGGCTTACTCCCCCAGCACCGGCCCATGTCTAAAACTCCTCCCACCCTCACCCCGTCCCCCGTTACGATTTGCCCCGCCCCATCCCTGCCCCGACCCGCGGGTACCCACAGTGGCATATTTGTCAAAACAAAATTGAATAATATAGTTGGAGTAAATAAATTTGAAACTCAATTGACATATATTACCTCCGCCCCAAATTATTTTGCAGAATCAACAACTTTTGATCAATCAATGTTCAAGTTAAATCCTCATTAATAATTAATTCAATCTTAATAATTAAAATTTACATATTCAGAAACTTTATTAAAATTTCTATAAAGTTACAAAATCCAAATTAAAATTTAATTAAGAATTGATATCCTAATTAAATGAATAAAATGAGTCTGTTTGACCCAAAAAGTCAAATTTGCAACTCAATTTAGGACGGAAGGAGTAGTAACTTGCAAACAGAACAAAAGATTTTTCTTTCAACCGTTACTTAGAGCCCGTTTGGTAGCATGAAAATCGGCTGTTTTGGCTGATTCTGCTGAAATTTATGAAGTTCTGGCTGAAAGGCTGCATTGGCTGATTCTGCTGATTTAAGAAAAAAATATTTTTAAAATATATTTTATTAATAAAATAAAGAAAAAATTATATGTAAAAATAGCTAAAATGGTCATCTACATTAACTTCAGCCAATACAGCCAGAAAAGTAACTCCAACCTTACATTTTCTGCTTATTGCACAATACAACGCGCGAAAGCAAAAATTACACGTTTGGTGAAAAAGTTGGCTGATAAGCCTGATAAGCCGAGAAACAGTGTTACCAAACGGCCTCTTATTCTGTAATGTTGTAAATCTAGCACATAGTCTTCAAAAATTTAATAAAGTTAGTCATTATTGACGACAAAGCCTTGAAGAAGATTTGCATTATCTTGGGCTTATTTCTGAATCGAATAACATTTTGAAGAGTGTTGTTGTGATTCGAGATACTTCTCAGAGAATATTAACTTTTGAAACCAAGGAGATAGATGTGGCAGATATCCTTGAAACTACTCTTCGAGTTTCTTTTTCACCTACAATACTGAAGTTTTTGATGGGACTCATAGTGATGTTTTGAAATCTAATGCTTCGAGTGGAAAAGATCTTGAAGTTACGCCTATTCAAAGTTTAGTTTCTGATGTGAGCTACTAGACCACGTTGCTGACACTGAATGAGACTTAGCCTGTTCTAGATTGCTACCTCGACGAAATGTGCTCGTCTGAAGGCTACAAAATTGGTTGTCACATAGGACCGCTTGTATCTTTTTAGAATTAGCTTATGGATATTTTGGGGAGTTCATCTTTTTTGGGCAACTAAATATATATAGGTGACAACTCCGGTACCCATTTAAAAAATGGGGTACCGTACCTACCACTCACTTGATTGTTTCAAATCATTACATCATTTTTAATTTAGATTTAAATAATTCAACTTCATCATTCTGATTGGTCCACATGGACAAATGTATGGTATCTTAAGGGTACCATAGAATTTACCATATATATAATTCGACATGGAGCTTTTTGTTTACTTTAGGGGTTTGAATGACGATGGATTTGCGGGGCCTATTTGGATTGTTCACTCATTAGAGATTTTTTCACTAGCTCTCTTTGTTTCACTAGCTTTCTTTCATCATCATTTTGTACTCTTTAATAATTTTTTAATAAATTTCCGATAAAAAAACTAATATGAAAAAAAAAACTTTGTTTATGAAATTTTGTAAGCATGTTTTTCATCAAATTTTCATCAACAAATTCCACCCGGAAGAACCTCAAAAAGTTCCACCCGAAAAATGATTAGTTTAAGTACTAGTATGAAAAATCAGTCTACTCATACCTATTATAAAGATAAAGAGCTAAACTTGGGTCTAAAATTTTCTTCATTTTTTCTGGGCCTAGGACCACCGCCCACTGCCCCCTCTAGGGCCGCCCCTGAGACCATACTAGATTTTAACAGATCATGTTAGATCATATCAGACTTCGATAGTTGTAAAATACACAAAGATTAGACCAATGTTCTGAAAGGCGCTAGGCGCTAGTCGGGCGCCAGCCCAGCGCTTAGCGGCTAGGCGGCTAGGCGGCTAGGCGGCTAGGCGGGCGCCTAGGCGGCGGGACTAGTCGCAGACAAAGAAATTGCATTTTTATCTATATTTTTTCATAGATATGATAAGTAATATTGTAGTTTTGTGTGTAAATAATACTACATATATACATATACATTAACAAACATGAATGATAGAATTATCATATTTAATCATACGTATTATTATATGATAACTAATCACTTGACTTCATTATCTTATAAATATAAACAATGATGAAAGTTAGGTATGTATAGAAACATATATAGTTTTATCTTAATTTACAACTTCATTTCTTTATATACATGGCTAAAGCTAAAGTACGTATATCGCTTAGAAAATTAAGATTAAAAAGTAAAGTAATGTCATGTTTGGCGAATCTAGAAAGCCTAGGCGGCTGATTAGGCGCTCTAGGCGGGCAACTAGGCGTCATAGGTGGTCAACTAATTCACCTAGATGGCAAACCAATTAGTCGGAACGCCTAGACGAAAATCGGGGTGCCCGACCACCGGCTAGCCTAGGCGGGGACTAGTCGAACGCCTAGAGCGCACGATTTTTAGGGAAAAGTACGGAAAATATACTTGTGGTTGAGCCCGTTTTCAGATAGGGTCATGTGTTTCATTCTTTATCAAAGTGGTTCATGTGTTTGAATTCCGTTATCACAAGAGGGTCACGCCGTTAAAAACGTCTAAAAAAGACCGTTAAAAGTAACTCTGATTTTCAAAAGTGCCCGAAAAACTAAAAGAAAAATACCGGAAGGTGCGCCACAATAAGACGACCGCTAGGCCGTCTTTCTTTTTTGTTTTGACCCTCTTGTGATAACGGAATTCAAACACATGAACTACTTTGATAAAGAATGAAACACATGACCCTATCTGAAAACGGGTCCAACCAAAAGTACTTTTTCCGTACTTTTCCTTTTGTTAAACTCATTGCTATTTCAAATTGCTAACATGTTGTTACAAATTAATAATAATTACAAAATCATGATCCGAAGTGATACAAAGTAATGATGTTTTTACTTGGACTGTAATTTACTGATCTGGTCTGGTCTGTTTTAGTCTGGTCTGGTCTGGTCTGTTTTGGTTTGGTCTGGTCTGGTCTGTTCTGAAATTTCATTTTTTATATTTTTTGCATAAAGATTTTATTTTATATATATATTATAATCCATAAATAATTATATTTTATTCATTAATAATTAAAAATAATAATAGTAATAATACTAATAATACTAACAATAACAATGATGATGATGATGACGACGACGACGATGACGATGATGATGATGATGATAGTAATAACAATAATAATAAAATATGGTATGGACTGATGTGGTCAGAAATTTTATTTTTTATATTTTTTGCATAAAGAATTTATTTTTTATTTATATTATAATCCATAAATAATTATATTTTATTCATTTCTAATTAAAAATAATAATAGTAATAATAGTAATAATAGTAATAATACTAATAATAATAACAATAACAATGATATTGATGATCATGATTATGATGATGATGATCATAATAATAATAATAATAATAATAATAATAATAATAAAATTTGGTCTGGTCTGGTTTTATATGTTTTAGTCTGGTCTGGTCTGGTCTGGTCTGTTTTGATCTGGTCTGGTCTGGTCTAGTCTTGTCTGGGATGAATTACAATCCAAGTCAAAATAACCTAATACGTGCTTACCGTAGGTTCTCTCATATTCAAAATGAAAAGAGAAAATAAAATAATCACAATCATCGCAATAATATACTAATTCTCTCCGTGATACGAACGGCATGCATGGTGCATTTATCACGTGCATGGCATATATTTTAGTAGACCAAGCAAAGACGATATCATTCATCTTTTAAGGAGACAAACTAAATAAAATAAACATTTTTACTAAATTCTACGCACGTATAATGATTTTTTATATATAGAAAGAGAAAGACATTTTAGTATAATAATACATTAATTAGTAATAATCCAACCACGAGGAATCTCTTCGTTTAGAATGGGTTTAAAGTCTGATTTCAATTAATCTAATCGTATCTGATATTTTTAAATTTGGTCTAGTTTAAACTTTAATTATTAAAACTTTAAATATGATTTAGCGTGATCTGAATTACCGTACTATATATCATGTAAGCTTCATTTTTTATAGTTATATATATACGAAGTACGCAGGGACGGATCTAGGATTTCGAGTCAAGGGGGGTGAATTTTTTTTCTAGTGTAGTGGGTGAAATTTTTTTCGCTAGTGTAGTCGGGCGAATTTTTTTTTTCGCTAGTGCAGTGGGGTGATTTTTTTCCTGCTAGTTTAGAAAGGCTTTGCGGTAATTTTTATTAAAAAAGAATTCATAAGTACATACATGATGATATTTAAATACTCCCTCCATCTCAGAAACAACTTCTCACTTTCCTTTTCGGACAGTCCCAAAATTAACTTCACACCTCTTTCCAGTTCCTTATTTAGCAAATTCTCTACATTCAAAAAGTGCCAAACAGTACCAAACAGTGTCGAAATAGTGTCTATACAGTAAAATT